AAACAGAGGTCCTGGGTTGACCCTGGCCCACAGACTCTGCCCATATGGAAATGGGGCAGGCTTTAAATGTGGTCCCCAGGGTGCACTGAGGCTTACCCTGTAGCTGGCGGAAAAGAATGTGAGGAGAGAGAAACGGAACTGTATGATGGAGAGCAATGATGAGGGGGCCTATGACGGTTCCATCATAAGGTGCCCCCAATTCCTAATATTCTCCTAACCACAAGAGGAGGCAGATTGTCAGAAATCTGACTGCTACATTAATGCAGCTTAGTATTTGAAAGCCATCATTTGCATTCAATAAATACAAGGGACCTTAAAAATGTTCATGGACATATAGAATTAGAAGGTAGTGGACTTTTCCCATGAACTTTTAAAAATCATCCATTTTGGGGAGCATCTATTATATGCCAGGCATGATTTCGTTAGATGCTGTTGAGCTGTGTATGACTCATAGGACCCTTCTGTACAACAGAGCAAGACACTGTCTGGCCCTGGGCCATCCTCACGGTTGTTGCTAAATTTGGGCACTTTGTTAGGTGGTAGGAATATAGCGGTAAACCAACAGGCAACTAGTAAGAAATGATACAGAAAAATTTCCCCTAGCACCAACCCCCATGCTCAATGTAAACAAAGCTCAATTAAGAAATCAATCTGTACAAAGCAACATCTCATGGATTTCAGCTTGCAGTTGGACGATAATTGAATACACTCCTATCAACAATATCTTAAATTCTATGCCATTGGATAAATTATTGATGTTTTCAACACAAGCACCTTATGCCCTAGGGGCATGATTGACATTTTTCTTTTTCGTTTCTTTTGGGAAGGGTTGGGTGGGGTGGGTTGTTTGTTTTTATCTTTTTTGTCATTGTTCTTATTGATTTTTGTTTTTGTCATAGTATGATCACCAAAGTAAACCACAGTTGTTCATAACTTGTGGACAAGCAGGTGGATTCTGGACTCCCATGTAATTCTAGCCTCAATCCAAGAACAGTTAGCTCTTATAACATTTCCCCACTCAGTACTCACCTTCATGAAGAGATCACTGAAGATAAGGGTGCTACAACAAAGTGTGGTGAAGAAAGCAGATGGGGCCCGGCAATTCATTGGAATAGTGTCTGGGTCTTCCAGGCGTGTATTTAAATGAGCAGCCATCTAAGAGAGCCGTCAACTAAGTCCCCATGGAAGAAGCACACCAGCCTGTGTGAGCCAAAGATGCTGATAACAACATGCAAACATGGTGAAGGGACAAGCATCAGGGCCTGAATTGTGAACACCCAATTTGCAGAAGGCTATGGAGGACAGTGGGTGCCGCAAATCCATCTGCAGACTAGCTAGTCAGATTAAGCCTCTGGCAGATCCCTCTAGCTACAGGCGAGGGACTCGAACAGCTTTCCTATCAGACAGAGATGATTGTAAACTTGATTACGGTGGATCACACCGTGGGATAATATGATACTTGGTCATTTGACTTCTCTCTTGACCCACCCTGAAATTGCTCTAGGCTCAAGTATTTCTCACTTGTTCCACAACAGAAATTTCTTCTCTGGCTTTTTAAATATTGATGGTGATCTTTTCTTTCTACTCTTTGTTTTATCTTTGTATTATTATAAATTTCTTTTTTCTGTTTTTTTTAATTGTTTCCATTAGGTTCCCCAGTTTATGAAGGAGTGGATGCATAGAGACAATAACTGGTGCAATGTTTTATCAGGGATGGGGGGGGGTGTATGAGGGGAATTGGGAAATAAACAATGAAAAAATGAATTCAGGAGGGAGGAGGAAGCATTAGAACTGATTGTAATGATGTATATGCAACTCTTTTAAAAAGCGAGTTAATTATGGAACTGTATACGCGAATATTATATCAAGAAAACTATTAAAATGAGAGATAAAGGAAAGAAAGAAACCACACTTGACCAATGGTCCCATGGGTGAAGGAGGAAGAGCTTTTGTTCAGGGGGCATTGAGTTTATGTTAATAATTTGGAAAAAGATATCAATAATGGTTGCATAAGACAGAGTATAATGAATGTCACTGAATTATAAATGTAGAAGTTGTTGAATTGGAGAATATTTTGTTGTGTATATTTTTGCCACAATTAAAAAAATAATTACACAAATAACACTGAGTACAAGGAAGAAGAAAATGTTCTAAAATTGATTGTGCTGGGATGATTGTACAACTCTTCTTGATACGGTTGAGCTACTGATGGTATGATATGTGGATGGAGTGCCAATAAAACTGTTAAAAAGAAAAGAAAATAGAAAACAGGAAAAATAAAACCAATAGCTGAAATCATTTCTAATTTTAATAAGTAACATAAAAGAAACAAGCAAGAGCCTGAAATAGCTAGATACCTGGTCAGCAACGGCTTTGTTGAGAAGACAGCATTTAAGCAGGAATTAGCTGAAGATATTTTGAAACCTCAGTAACATTTCTATTTATTCTGTGATGAGTAAATAGAGCATTTCCCCCCTAAGGTGTAAACTACCAAGAAAGACTAATGATAGTTGTGCCTCCTGGAAGGACCACACCTCCTCTCCCAGGCCCCTACTGTCAGACCTCCCTCCCAGGGGTTTTCCCAAAGCGCTTTGCCAGTGGGGGTGAGGGTGGAGGTGACGCTTGGACATTTGGCAATAGTGAGAAATTATTGACCCAAAATCACTAGCCCAAGGGCAAAGCTGAAGAGACTTGGGAATGTTCCAGAAAGGCCTTGGATGACAATTGAAAAAAGCAGCTGGTCTTGGCGTATTCTAAGTCGTATATGTGTGTATACGTATATATGCATGCATGGTTACTAAGTGTATATAAGCATCAGTATCTCTCGCTATAATTTTTACAGCAGGGCAGGGCACTTTCTTTCTTTTTCTTTTTCTAGTTTTTCTTTCTTTCTTTCTTTTTTGTGAAATTCCTACACAGCAATGTTAATTCCAACAAAAATCTCCATACCTCAATTAAAAAAAAAATGGACAAAAGACTTGAATGGAAACTTCACCAAAGAAGATACACACATGACCAACAAGCACTTGAAATGAGTCCTTAACCCCTTGGCACCCCCCTGGGACTCCCATGAGTCATTAAGGAAATGTAAATCAAAACCACAGTGAGGTCTACTGCTTCTTCACTCCAACTAGGATGGTTATGATCAGAAAACAAGTATGGGTGCAAAGGTGGAGAAATTAGAATTCTCATCCATTCTGGTGAGATAGTAAAATGATGTGGTCATTGTGGAGAACAATTTGGTAGTTCCTTATATGAGGGGGTAACCCTCCCCACAAAAAATTTTTTCTTAAAACAATGTTTTTAATTTATTTTTACAAAACAACCTTATTACCTTCGAAGTACTCTCCATAACACTTAATACATTGGTCAAATCTGCGATTCCATTCTTGGAAACATTTTTAAACTCATGTATTTGGATGGCTGACAGCACCTCCTTTGTTTTTTTTTCTCCACCTTCTTCTACATCATCAAATCGCTGTCCTTGCATTCTCAGAAACAAAAGGAAGTCTCACTGAGCGAGGTCAGGTGAGTCAAGTGTCTGAGGCAAGAGAGGCATGCTGTTTTTTACCAAAAACTGAGCAGAACTGAGATGGCTTCGTGAGCAGGTACATTGTCCTGGTGGCAAAACCAGTCCCCCGTCTGCCACAAATCAGGCCTTTTTAAATTGCATACTGTCATGCAATATTTTCAGAACCTCTAATATAAAACTAGATTAACAGTGTGACCTGGTGGAACCATCTCCAAATGAACTACAAGTTAACATTTTTGTCCATTTGGGAAGTTGACAGTCATCCAGAACGAGGTTTGTCATTAATTGACATTTCACCATTTTTGAAAGGAGAAAACCACTCATACACTTGAGCTTTTCCCATAGGGCTGTCCTTGTAAGCTGTGTTGAACATCACAGCAGTTTCTGCAATCAGGAAACAAACCAGTTCCCGAGCAGAAAACAAAATGAACAGCCAAGCTGTTCTCTTAAATCGGCCACTACAAAAAATAAACAAAACCGCTTTTACGAAAAAATTCACTGTGACCAGAGAGAACCTTCCAAGGTGACACCACTGGGTGCACTAACTCAGAGTGACTTGCTTGCTGCTCACCTAGTGGGGAACAACAAAAGCGTGCACAACAAAAGCTCTGCTTGGTGAAACATTTTTCCATTTTTTTGGGGTACCCCCTCATATACTCCAAAAGACTTGAAAGCCAGGACACAAACACTTATTTGTTCAATTATGTTCACTCAAGCCCTCTTCACAATGGTCAAAAGGTGGAAACAACCCAAGTGTCCATCAGCAGATAAATGCACAAGCAAAATACATACAATGAAATCTGAGTCAGTCATAAAAGGAGAGGACGTTCTGATACATGTTCACAGTAGGGTGGGACCCTGAAAGTAACACAAGTCAGACCCAAAGGGACAAATATTGAATGACCCCACTTAGGTGGAATACCCAGACTAAACAAATGGATAGGCTCCTGAGTTTATTTAGTGGTTACTGGAGGCTGGATGGGAGAGAGGAAAATGTTGAAATGGCAAGTGGTTTATTATTTGTAATTTTACTTCAATAAGAAAAAGATTAAAGCATGAACTTTTTTTTTTTTTTTCTGGTAAAGCAAGTTCCCTTCTCACCCCCCTTCCTATACTGTTGAGGCAAATCAACCACAGAAATGTCACCCTCAAATCGACCCACCTCCTTCCCTGTTTTGGACAACCAGACCCATGCACAAGATGATAGGAGTCACAGGCGGGCCTCAGTGTGGGGGGCAAGTCCTGCCCAGTAGTTAAGGAATGGGGGAGGGGAGTCAATGCCAGGAAGAGGGAGTCCAGGACTCATACTTCTGTCCAGACTCTGACCTTACTTGTGGTGATGAAATCAGCCAATATTGGCACAGTCCTGGGAGGCAGCTCCCTCCCACTAGGGTGAGAGGGTGGGGGTGGCGCTACTTCCATCACTATATAGGAGTTCCGCCGGGAGCCCAGAGCTGTCCTGTGACCTCTCCAGCTCAGCATGGCTCGGGCACTGGGAGTACCCGCGGTACTGGGGCTGTTGGGCCTGTGCTGGTCACTGGCCATCGCCCACCCTGTTGCTTCGTAAGTATAGCAGGGCCAGGACTGGAGGCCAAGGGTCTGTGCTAAGGTGACATGGAGTTTGTTTTTTATTGCCTGGGGAAAATATGATGCAAAAGATGTACACACTCGATTGCTGGCTGAAAAGCTGGAAATTTAAATCCAACGAGAGACCCCTGGGAAGAATAGGCCTAGAGCTCTTCTTCTGGGGGATCAGCCCTGAAAACCCCAGGAAACGCTCTTCCATTCTCGCGCCCATGGAGTTGCCTTGAGTGGGAATCTGCTGGGTGGCAACTGCTCAGATTCCAGTGCAGAGGCAAGCGGTAAGGGCGAGAGTTCGGTTCCAGTGGACTCAGACATGGGTGTGCTTTCCCTCCAGGACTAGTGCCCCTGGGAACGAAGCTGAAGGTGGGAATGGGACCAGACCAGACCCAGACGTCCTTGGTGAGAGTCCCAACTGCTTGAGCCTGGCTGACTGGCTGTGTCTCTGCCTCTGTATCATCTGACCGCTCTTTTTCTTTTCTATACCCAACTCTCGTGCCCACCCGCAGAACGATGTTCCGATGGCTGGGGCTTTGACGCTGCCACCCTGGATGACAGTGGAACCATACTGTATTTTAAAGGTACGAGAGGCCAGGTTGGGGCATCTGGAGACCTCACATGCAGTTCCTTTCTCAGAGGGGCTCTTCATCTCTGTGGGGTCTTTGGAATTATCTGAGGCCATCAAGGAGCCTTGGTGTTGGGATGGTCTCACGTTGGGCTGCTTATCTAATAGTTTGAAACCACCAGCTGCTCCAAGGGAGAAAGACAGAGCTTTCTACTCCCGTAAACAGCTCACAGTCTTGGAAACTCCCGGGGCAGTTCTACCCCATCCCATAGACTTGCTATGAGTCCACATTGACTCCGGGGCAGTGAGTAATCACTCACAGCTTCTCTGCATCTGCTCTGTAAGCCAAGTGTTTGTTCTGGGTCCCTGAGTGAATGTGGGTTTTTCAGGGGAGTTCGTGTGGAAGGGTCACAAATGGGTCCGAGCGTCGATCTCAGAGCAGTGGAAGAATGTCACCGGCCCTGTGGATGCTGCATTCCGACGTGATCACAACAGGGTCTTTCTGATTAAGGTACTGCTGGGACCCAAGGTCAGGTCCGAGCCAGCAACAGCTGGAATCCACACTAGAGGCCATCTCCCAAGCGGGCCTGGCATGAAGCCCAAACCAACAGAGAACAGGTGTCCTCCATCTGTGCCTCCCTTTTCTGCAGACGATCAAGTACAGGGAGTGGGTGTGCACCTGGGCAGGGCAGGTAGCACACACCCAGTGGCTGTTCTTCATTCCTGATCTCAGTTCTTGACCTCCCTGCTGCACATCGCGCTGTTGGCCATTCTCTCCGGTACTTGGTGTTGGGCTGTGGTATGCAGGTCCCGCTCAGGTTGTTTAAGGCACAGTGACACCTGATGAAAGGACAAGTGGAGGACGATGTGCAGGCCACTTTGCTCACCAACCCATGAGCCCTGGCCCAGCCCACAGAGGGAAGGCCCCTTCTCCTCACTTGCATAAGAGTGCTGGACTGCTGAGGGGGCCCTGACAACAACCTTTGTTTTCCCTCCTGCCTCTTTTCTTGTTCTTCTCCGGTTTCTGATCCTCCATCAATTCCATGAATCTTCCTCACCTAGCCCCTTGACAGCCCCATTGGGTGATCACAACCATTGTATTGGCCCTGAGGACTCTACGCTGTTGACCCAAGAGCTGGCTCGCTCTCCTGAACTCCAGGCATCTCTGTCCGATTACCTAGAAGACATCTCTGTCAGTCCTGACCCACAGCAACCCCACGTGCTGCAGAATAGAAGTGCTCCCCAGGGTTTTCTTGACTGTTATCTTTAGCAAAGCAGATCACTGGGCCTTAATTCTGCTGTGCTATTGGGTGGGTGAAAGCTTTACATTAAGCCGGTAAGCACAAATCACTTGTGCCACCCAGATGTTTCACAGAACCTCGGATTCAGCACCCCAGGCTGAGTGTAGCCTCACACACTAGCCCTTTTCCTCCAGTGGTTTGCAGTTCAGCAAACAGCACCGGCGCAAGCCTCGTCACGCCAAGCCAGGCACACATGAGCTCTCACGACCTGGACCTTGGCTTCCTTCCCAGGCATATCTCATCCCCTGCCAGATTCCCTGTGGGCCAACCACGCAATACTGCATTGCTTTCCCCAGCACGCTGTGCTTCCTTCTGTCTGTGCGTCCCCTTATGCTGCGCCCTCTGCTGCTACCACCATGTCTTCACTTGTCCACCTGGAAAATTGCTGCTCATTTTTCAAACTTCTGGTACTGCTCTGGGCTGACTTATGCATCCCCTCTAGACCCCTAAAGCCCTTTGATCACTCCCCATGGCAATGGCTTCATGGCTCAGAATGTATGGATTCTTCTTGCTTTTGTATGGTGAACTCTTTGAAGGCAGAGTCAGGGCCGCTCATCATTTTAACCTATGCCGACCCCAGCACTTGACATAGCATGCATCAGGCATCTGTTTCTTGATGAATGACAAAACAAAGGAATGGAACAATGGATGAATGGTGTCAGGATGACTAGTTACTGATGGGTTTCCAAGACCGGGGGCTGCGGAAGTGCGTGGTGTCAGTGTCTGATGGAGTCGCGTGTTCGGGTAACAGTGCCTGGATTTTCACAGCCCAGCATGTGAGTTTGTGCAAGGGGGCAGCATACTGTGACCCACAGATGGACTGAAAGTGCAGGGGGATGCCGGAGCTTCTTGTAGTCTCACGCTGGGCAGGAAGACAGTGGCAGCCTCGGGGAGGGGAGAGGCAAACCGAGTGCTTTTCTGTGCAGGGAGACAAAGTCTGGGTGTTCCCTCCTGAGAAGGAGAAAGTGTATCCAAAGCTGCTCCAAGAGGAGTTTCCTGGAATCCCAGCCCCACTGGATGCGGCTGTGGAATGCCACCGCGGAGAATGCCCAGAGGAGGGTGTTCTCTTCTTTCAAGGTCAGTCAGCCTGGGGTTGGAGACACTGGGCTGGTGGTAGATTGCGGGTGGAGCGTCAATAATGACGGTGGTAGTGCTGGTGATGGGGGTGCTGGTGGAACCACTCTGAGGATTCCTAAGAAGAAGAAGAAGCAATAGAGCAGCCACGCATGGTCTAGAGGTCACGTGGGGGAGGGTGACTAAAGATCCTGGTGGGGACGGCCACTGGGTGTGAAGAGCCACCGAGTGGCACAAAATGGTTAAGTACTTGACTCCTGATGGAGAGGTTGATGGTTAGAACCCACCTGAGGGACGTCAGAAGAAAGTCTGCTTTGGAGGCTGCCCTGTAGACAGCCCCATGGGGCCCAATTGGAACCAGCTCCATGGTAGCTTTCATGAAACAGGGTGAAAGTTTGCTAAAAGCCCCTCATTGTTCACTGTGATACTTAGGACACATATATGCTCCTCAGCCTGGGATACACATCTCTCCATGAGGAAGCCCCTATTGGCCCTCTGGCCTTCGCTTTTTGGGCCCCAGGCTCTAGAGAAGCTCTGGTGTCCTTTGTACACACACTTTGATTGATACTTTAGGTGTGTTCCTCTTTTTAGAGGTCCCCCTCTTCTGCGAGTTTCCGTCTGCCACACTCTCTCTGTTGAGTTGATCATGCGCACGTTGGTGCTGAGCTTTACTGTATGTTCCCTCCTCAAACCTGTCCCGCTGAATGGGGAGCTCCATGTGGTCTGGACCATATTTGGCCTATCTTGGGACACCCAGGGCAAGAACAAGGTGAGTCTGATCTGACCTCAGTGAAGGCTCACTGATGGTTTGGTTCAAGGTAACCACAAGTGGTTCTGGGACTTTACGACGGGAACCAAAAAGGAGCGACTCTGGCCGGCTGTGGGGAACTGCACCTCTGCCCTGCGATGGCTTGGCCGCTACTACTGCTTCCAGGGTAACCAATTCTTCCGTTTCAACCCTGTCACCGGAGAGGTGCCTCCTGGATATCCTCGGGATGCCCGAGACTACTTCATGCCCTGCCCTGGGAGAGGTGAGCGAGCCCTAGCCCCTTAGAAGCCCATTCCAATTTGTCTGGCTCCTCTACCCAACTTTCTGAACACATGTGCCCGAGCCCCTAGCTTCACTGTTTTCCAACATCTTAGCCTTTTCCTAGCCCGTTTCCGCCTGGCTCATCCTTCATGTCTTCATACAAAGCCCATCCTTTCACTCATCTCGACCTTCTCTTCTACCTCAGTCTCTGCTCTGAAGTCTGGTCTCACCCTGTGCTCCCCTCACCCGTTTCTCTACCCCACCCCTCCCCAGGCCATGGCTCTGGACACAGGAATGGGACCAGCCATGCCCAAATACCTCGGCCCTGTGACCCAGATGTTGTCTTATCTGCATTGGTGTCTGACATCCATGGGGCCATGTATGCCTTCAGCGGTAAGAGATGTCCCCCAGTCCTCCCTGCTGTGCCCGCCTTGCCTTCCACTGGGTCTTTCATCTCTGCCCTAGTTCTATCAGCTCTATCCCTGTGTCCCCAACTTGCCCCAGCTGTTCCCACCCTGAATGTGCTGTTTCATGTGCCTCATCTGCTTTGCTGCATGTGTTTCTCAGCCTGGTTTTTCACGGTCCAAATCTTTAGCTTGATATCTCCCTTGCTCATGTCTTATGGGGTGTTCTGGCTCCCCTGGAAGTGGTTTTCAGAGGCGTTGTCTTTTCTCAGGTGCCTCAAACTCAACCTCACTGCCGTTGAGTCCATTACAATTCACCTTGACCCTGGAGGACAGGGTAGAATGGCCCCTGTGGGTTGCTAGGACTGTACTTCTTTATGGGACTAGAGAGTTCTTCTGACTCCCGCGGAGTGGTTTCGAACTTCTGACTTTGCTAGTAGCAGCCCAATGCAGAACCACTACGGCACCAAGATATTCCATTGCTGAGAACCTACCAAGAAGTCTTGGGTGCCCTAGGCCCTTATGAAGGTGGCTTTCTAGCTTGAGGTTTCCCCTGTGAGTGGCTAATGAAGACGTGGGAAATCGATTGGCTAATTCCATCTAATAATACCTAGAGATATTCTGGGGTTAAGGGGCAAGTCACAATGAGTCTTGCTCCACCCTCAAGAACAGCTCCAAGAGAAGGAGTGAACAAGTGAGTGTTAGCCAGTCCATGGTGCATGTGTGTGACCAGAAATGAACACAGGGTGGTGGGGATAATATAGAATAGTGGAAATGTTTTGTTGCTCCTATACCCTGAACAGGTCTGGTCACACATGATTGTCTATTTATAGTGGAAACTACACAAACACAAGAAGATCCTACTCCTCCATCAAGTATGCATGCCATACCAGAACATAAAAACACATTTAAAAAAATAATTGAGCTGAATCTGACTTATAGCGACCCTGTAGGACAAAGTAGAACTGCTCCTGTGGAATTGTAAGACTGTAGTCCTTTGTGGGAGTAGAAAGGCTCATTGTTTCCCGATGGAGTAGCTGGTGGGTTTGAACCGCTGAACGGAAGTGAATAGCCCAAGGCACCACCTACTGCACCAAGACTCCTTATGAGAACGTAGATCTGACCTAATGACCCAGAACCGTGCCGAGGACACGTGCCATAGGAAGAGCCTGTGAACAGCAGGATGACATGTGGCTCTGAGCACATGCACAACATAAGACTGAGAAGAAGTATCTTTTAATAAAGCAGATCCCACAGAGAGATGTAAGGAGAACCCGTCCGTGGGAAGATCACGGAACTATAGGAAGGCCAGGTGACCACCATGAGAAAGCAATGGAAGTTGGCGATCGCTTTGTCATCCTAAATCAAGTGTTAGCTATGTCCCACAGGTGCCGAGAGAGCATGTCGCCATTTTGTCAAAGACACCAGCTGAGGTGAGGACATCGGATCTTGGTGACAGTACAGGCACAATCCAGCTTCTCCGCAAGCGATGGTCATCTCTTCTCTTTAATATTTCTCTCTTCTCTCCCTCATGGCTTCTTACTTATCCTTCTGCTCCTTTACTACGTTGACTTGCATACAGGCCATCCTGTCCTCTCCACCTGCTCTTTATTTCATGATCTTTCAGCTTCTGCCCCAGTTGCACTGCCTTTTCTAGTCTGAATTCTCAAGAGGAAGCCTAATTCTTCCAGGTCATACTTTCACACCAGACTATGTGCAAGTGATTTCTGGCCAGCCTGTGTCTTGGATACTGAGTGGTCAGGAGCTCATTTGCGGATCCTTCTGCACACACAATAGCATAAGTCTGATTCTCAGAGAAGGAGGAGACGAACCAGGTAGTTTCTGCCGGGAGGGAAGTTGAGTATGCTAACCAGCATGACCTGTCATGTTCACAGCTGTAAAGATAATTTGTGGTTGTGGTGGTGAAAACACCACCCATTTAGTTGAGCAAATACTTATTGAGCATCTAATCAGCCCTGGGGAGCCCTGGCGATGTTATGGTTACTGGTTGGGCTGGGATCCACAAGGTCAGCAGCTGGAAAGCATCAGGTACTCTTGCAGGAGAAATACAGGGCTTTCTACTGCCGTTAAGTTTTAGTCTTGGAAACTCTCGGGGACAGTCCTACTCTGTCGTCTGGGGTCGGCATCGGCTCGATGGCAGTGAGTTTGGTTTTGGAATCAGCGCTGGACACTGTTCCAGGTACTTGGTTATGGAAGTCACTGTGACAGACAGGACACCTGTCCTCAGAGCCCGCGAGATGGAGAGAGGACACTGCTGAATGAAGAGAAAGAAGGAAAGCGCTTCCTTCCACTCAGTGTGAAGAGCTGTGACAGAAATAGGGCACAATAATGGGACAGGTGAGCAAAATGAGAGGGTTCCTTTTCTGAGATGATATTTGAGCTGAGATCTCAATGATGAACATGGTTTCATCCTGCAAAGCACAGGTGGAAGGACTCTCGTGGTCTAAATTTTGTTGGCATTTGACTGATCACCTAAAGGTTGGTGGTTCAAACCCACCTAACAGTAATGTGGACTAAAAGCGCTGGTGATCTGCGTCCATTACGATGACAGCCAAGAAAGCCGGAGGGGCCTCAGATCTAGTCTGTAGCATCTGGGGTTTCCATGCATCACAATGGACTTGATGGCAACCGACAGCAGTCACTCAATAAACAAAGCACAGGACAACAGTTCTTTCCCACGGGGCGAACAGTCAATACTGTGAGGAACCAGGAAAGAAAGCCAGCGTGACTGGAGCAGGCGCAGGAGCAAGAAGGTCACTAGAATGGGGCCAGAGAGGGCAGCAGAGTCCGCGAGACAGAGACTGTGGAAGGAAGCCACGTGATGCTCTGGTTTGCTTTTAAAAAGATTGCGCTGGCTGCTTGTAGAAAATGAGGCAGAGAGGCACAGTTGTGTGAGCAGGCAGTCCAGCTACATCAGCATAGGTAAGAGGTGATGGTGGCTTGGCTAGGGTGACAACAGTGAAAGGTGGCGGTGTGTCTGTCTTCCTGAAATATTGTCCAGGTGAAGCTGCTAGAGCAACGATAGATTGGTTGTTGGTGGCAGGGAAGAAGGGCAAAGAGGCTTCAAGAGTGACTCACCGTTTGGGGCTGGGTAACTGAGTAGATGGTGGTTTTATTTTCTAAAATTGGGCGACTGTGGGAGGACTAGTGAAGTGTGTGTGTGTGTGTGTGTGTGTGTGTGTGTGTGTGTACCACACGCCTGCACGTGCTTGCCTGTATGTGTATCTGGTAGAGACACTAATCAGTTCAGACACATTAAGTTTAAGGTGCTTAATGAGGCAACCACAGGGCCATGTCAGATAGGCAACAGAATTTGAGTCTGAAGCTCAAAGAAGAGGTCAGAGCTGAAGAGAGCAGACTGACAGACGTCAGCAGATGGCTGGTCTTCAAAGCCTCGGGGCTGGGTGAGATCATTGAGGGAGGGAGTGTAGGCAGAGAAGAAAATAGGCACAAACTCAAGTCCTAGATTGCAATATCTAGGTATCAGGCTGGTGTGACAGAATCCGGGATTTTTCATTTTTTTAAAAAGATACTTACAGAAGAAAGAAGTGGTAGGTGGTTAGATATGACAGAGGGTTCGTTAGAGTAAGATGAAAACAAAGGACTGACCCTTGGACTTGGCAAACTAGAAAACACTAGTGGCTTGATGGCAATTTCCATGGAGAAGGGGAACAACAGTATCATCGGAGTGGATTGAGTCAGACAGGGTCAGCACCTAGTCAGTTCCTTTAATCAGGCGCTGCCGGTTGTGGAGAGAAGGCTACTTCCTCACTGAACCTGCCCAGAGTGAGAAGACCAAGTAGAAGCTCCCGTTTAACTTCTGGCCGCCGTCTCATTGCCTATGACCACATCACTACACATAGACACCTGAAAGGCATATGGAGTCCCTTACCAAGCCCTGTGGCGTTGTCCTTACCTGGGAACTTGACACTGTTCCTCATCCCTTTCTCTCTGTCAGCCCCCCCTTAACTCCAATTAAGTCACAATGCCTGACATTGCTGTCCCAGTTCTGCTCTGCTCCTCTCTCGCCTCTGGTTTCCTTCTTCTTAGCCTCTGAATGCCACCTCTTTACCCTTAACAACTCCCCTGTACCTATTACGAGCCTCTTCATTGCATGGCCATTTATCACCAGCACTAAAGCCACCGCTATTGCCCCACAGGATCCTACTATTGGCGCCTGGACTCCAGAAAAGATGGATGGCATACCTGGCCCATTGCTCACCAGTGGGCCCAGGGCCCTTCCACAGTGGATGCTGCCTTTTCCTGGGAGGACAAACTCTATCTGATTGAGGTGTGTGCTGGCGCAGGGAGAAGCCTGAAGGGGAGACCCAGGGCAAGAACACCCAGCTCTATGTTGATGAATGTCTTATGTCCTCTAGGGCACCCAAGTGTATGTCTTCTTGACGAAGGGAGGTTATACCTTAGTAAGTGGTTATCCAAAGAGGCTGGAGAAGGAACTTGGGAGCCCTGTTGGGATGAGCTTGGATGCTGTCGATGCAGCCTTTACCTGCCCTGGATCTTCTCGGCTCTACATCACAGCAGGTAAGGGGCTTCGGGATGGTCTGCTGACATGGCACAGATTCCCATGAGGACATACACAGCGCCGTGTCAGAACCCCTCCAACTTGGAGGCCATGTTATGTTTGGTGCTTTTTCCCCAGGACGGCGGCTGTGGTGGCTGGACCTGACATTAGGATCTCAAGCCACGTGGACGGAGCTCCTTTGGCCTCATGAGAAGGTTGATGGGGCCCTATGTGTGGAACAGTCCCTCGGCATCAACTCATGTTCTGCCGATGGTCCCAGCTTGTACCTCATTCATGGTCCCAATATTTACTGCTATAGTGACGTGGACAAACTGAATGCAGCCAAGACCCTGCCCCAGCCCCAAAAAGTGATCCACCTCTTTAGCTGCCATCACATAGTGTCCTGAAGCTAGTCTAGCTCCGGGTGTACCTCCAGTTTCTGCACAATAAAGCCAGCGTGCTGATTCGCTCGAGTCTGTGCTGTGCACCGATCTCCTTTCTTTGAATTGAGATCTCAGCAATTTCTCTCTCAGGGTTCTAACGCTCAAAGAGGGCTGTGGGGAGCAAGGGAAGGGAAGGCTTAGGACAAACCTCATTTCTGCACAGGTGATTCCTAAATCCAGATCATAAACTGGATTCTCCTAGATTCTGTACAGTGCGGAAAATGGGACCACAGAGGGAAAAGGAATACTCAACTTCCAGAGCTAGGAAGAGGCAGAGTTAGGAAAATGACTCACCCCATTACATTAATAACCGAGCACAGCTTAATCCCAAAGTGTAGGGACAATCTAGCCTAGAGCATCGGCGTCTATGCCAAGTGGGCTGGGTCCCTGTTGCCATCTGACGGGCTTCTTGTTAGGAACCATCACATCAGAGCTTCAGGTGGCTCAGGTAGTAGCATGCCAGAAGACAAGACTGATTTCCATGAGCGAGGCATTACAAATGGAATGAGATTCAGGATGGAGACCCTGAGGAACGCCAGCTGAGTATCACGGAAACGTTGGGGAGAAGACAAAGGACGCGAGTATCTGCTACCGTGGTACACATTTGCAGAATAAGCCCTCAGGGATTGCAGCTGGACCCTCAGGAGCCCTGCTAGCAGAGGGCATCTGAGCCCTCGCTCATCTCAATACCATCTAGGCCAACAAGTGCCACCTTGGTCCCGGCTACAGTGCACAGGGTTTTCCTGATCACAAACCAACACAGTCTTAAGCTCCAAACTAGCTGAAAACCATTTGTTTGCACTTCATCTGGGGCCACCACTATATATCATACCAAGGAGCCCAGAGGTGTGTAAATGGTTATCCAGTAAATTCTGGTTCTCAAATGGAACTTTTCCCTCTCTATCTTCTCTCCTCCCACCTGTTCTAACACAGGGAAGCCTCTAACTTGCTTCCAAGAAATTTCCAGTAAACGAACAACTCCTGTTTCCTTCATCCACTCACTTTGCACCTCCCATGTGCAGAACAGTGTGCCAGGCAATGGAGTTATGAGCCAGACAGTCCTTCCTTCAAGGATCTATCACTCTATCACAATCAGAAGGGGAACATAGACAAGGTACCAGATAAGCCCATCAAAGTGTGTGGAATCAGCATTACCTGGAGTGAACAGGGATCAGGAAAGACTTCATACATAGTATACTTGAGCTGATTTTTAAAAAAAATATTAAAATCATTTTATTGAGGACTCATACAACTCTTCTGTAAGGGGATGTACAATTCCTACAGATGGGCTTTGGGTCCTCAATCCACACTCCCCCTCATTCACAATGATATGATTTTTTTGTTCTTTGATGCCTGATGCCTGATCCCTTCGACACCTTGTGATCACACAGGCTGGTGTGCTTCTTCCATGTGGCCTTTGTTGCTTTTGAGCTAGATGGCTGCTTGTTTACCTTCAAGCCTTTAAGACCCCAGACGCTGTATCTTTTGATAGCCGGCACCATCACGTGAGCTGATTTTTAAAGATGAATAGAATTTACACAATTCCTTTAGCAAATAAATATGAACTGCCTCTTGTATACTACCATAAAGATCCCAGCAGTTAAACAGTTGGCTGCTAACTAAAAGGTCAGCAATTCAAACCAACCAGCCACTTCACAGGAAAAAGACACGGCGATATGATTCAGTAAATATCGCAGCCTTGGAAACCCTATGGGGCAGTTCTACTCGGTCCTAAAAGTCGCTGTGAGTAGAAATTGGCTCAACACACACAGGTTTCTTTTGGTTGACTGTATCAGCGTGTCACGGAGAATTACAGTGAGAGGAGTCAAGTCAGTAAAGAACTGCAAAGGGAAGAAGGCATAGACAAGAATGGGCACTGCGACCAGCGCAGCAGGGCTGAGTCTAGAGTTAGTGAGGTTGGTGAGAGATGAGACTGCAGAAACAGCCCGGGGTTTCTAAGTCCTTGGAAAGGGGCACATCCACGTCAGCATAGGAAAGTGAGTTTGTAGCAATAGAGACTTCATGAGGGAATTTAGATGAGATTGGGTGCAGTCAGGGTGGTATGGCTGTAGAGCCTGGAGAGAGATCTTCGACAAGGTAGTGACATGATGGTGTAGTGGTTGCGCATTGAGCTGTTTACAGAAAGGTTAGCTGTTTGAAACCACTAGCAGCTCCTCGGGAGAAAGCCAGGACTTTCTAGTTCTGTAAGTGGTTACAGGCTGTTCTGCCCTGTCCTGTAGTATCACTATGAGTCAGAATCATTTTGAAGGCCGTGAGCTGAAACTCGGGTATTGTGGGATGAACACTGGGTGAAGGGAGGGCACAGTGCCTATAGGGAGTCCATTGAAGGGATTGTTATGGACCAGGTGGAGGCTTGGACTGGAAAGAGGATGTAGGCAGATGAAAATACATTTTCAGGGTTATTGTCTATTGAACTTGACAGAGTGGAGGTGGGGTGGAGGAAAATGGAAATATATTGCCATCAAATTGCTCTAATGTCCCTCTTATTATTATTGTAATTAAGAATTGGGTGAAGGATTGCTCACAGAGTAGATCAGTTTTCCATTAAACAATTCATAATATTTTGTTTCATCTCATTGATTGCAATCCCCCAAATCATATCATTTACTCTTTTTCCTGTCTTCCCCAGCCTTTCTGAACTTTGCCTTTGAGTAAATGCCGCCTTTGTAATTTCAACTGGTTGATTATCCTAAGCTCTACATACCTCACTAAGACTATTGTGCACAATAGACACACCTGTCTATTGTTTGGTTGAAAATTGAGCCTCGGTGGTGAGTTTGTTTCCACACCTGAAGGGTAACTAAGGGCCATAGTTTCAGGGGCTCCATCAATCTCACTCAACCATTAAACCTGGCCTTTTCTTTTGAAAAATGATTTTAGTTTTGTTTATTAAGTTCTACACCCCCTACCCACCACCCATTCAATCTGGGCCCTTCTGCTGTATGTGTTTTCAGTTATATTTGATAGTATTTATGCCGTATATTAGGACTCCTAGTTTGTCCCAGAGAGCCTTGGCAGTGTAGTGGTTACACGTTGGGCCACTCTGAGGGAGAAAAATGGAATTTTCTATTCCTGTGAGCAGCTACTGTCTTGGCAACCCACTGAGTTGAAGTTTGTTCCTATTTTTTCACTGCTGATCTTTATATTTCTAGGTTTCATATGTATGTCTTGAGTTTCTTTCTGTATATATGGTGTGAGATATGGGCTGCTTTATTTTCCTGTAAGTGAATGTCCAGTTTTGCCAGCACGATTTGTTAAAGGCACCATCTCTCCCCATGTAATGAATTTCAGGTCTGTGTTAAAGAGCAAGTGTCCATAGGAGAATGAACTTACTTCTGGTTCTTGTCTCTGTTTCACTGAGCTCTGTACCAATGTTTTTGTCGTTTGTTTCTTCTTTAACAGTGTTTTGTTTTCTTAATATTCTTCTTTTCCATATAAAGTTGGTGATTAGTTTTTCCATCTCTTTAAAAGATAATGTTGGAATCTGGATTGAGATTACATTATGTCTGTAATTATTTTGGGTGGTGTTAACACTTGTGTAATGGTAAATCTGCCTATCCATGAGCACATTCTTCAATTTATGTAGGTCTGTCTTGGTTGCTTGTAGTAGTGTATTATAGCTTTCTTTGTATAGGTTTTTTGTTTTTCTGGTTCAATTTAGTCTTTAGTATTTTATCTTTGGGGTGACACTGTAAAAGGTATTCTTTTCCTTTTCAGAGTTCTTTTCATTAGTGTAAAGGAAGCCAAGGGATTTTTGTATGTTTATCGTGTACCCAGCTACTTTGATGAATCTTTCACTTAGTTCCAACAATTTTCTTACTTAACCTTTGATATTTTATATGTAGGATCATATGATCGGCATCATTTTACTGGGGCTCATACAACTCTTATCACAATCCATTTATACATCCATTGTATCAAGCACATTTGTACATTTGTTGCCATCATCATTCTCAAAATATTTGCTTTACACTCAAGCCCTTGGTATCAGCTCCTCATTTTCCCCTCCCTCCCCAACCCACCCTCCCTCGTGAGCCCTTGATAATTTATAAATTAGTATTATTTTGTCATGTCTTACACTGTCTGATGTCTCCTTTCACCCACTTTTCTGTTGTCTGTCTCCCAGGGAGGGGTTATATGTAGATCATTGTGATTGGTTCCCCCTTTCTCCCCCACCTTCTCCTTCATGCCCCTCCTGGTATTGCTACTCTCATTATTGGTTCTGAGGGATTTATCTGTCCTGGATTTCCTGTGCTTCCAGCTCTTATCTGTAACAGTGCACATTCTCTGGTCTAGCCGGATTTGTAAGGTAGAATTGGGATCATGATAATGGATAGGAGGAAGCATTAAAGAACTAGGGAAATGTTGAATGATTCATTGGGGCTATACTGCACCCTGACTGGCTCATCTCCTTCCTGGGAAGATACTGTTTTAAGAAATACCTTATGCTTCCCCCCCCCCCCCCACTATCATGATCTCAATTCTGCCTTGCAAATCTGGCTAGACCAGAGGATGTACATTGTACTGATAGCAACTGGAAAAACAGGGAATCCAGGACAGATGACTCCTTTAGGACCAGTGGTGAGAGGGGCAATACCTGGAGGGTGAAGGGAATGTGGGGTAGAAGGGGGGAACCAATTACAAGAATCTAAGTATAGGCCTCCTCCCTGGGGGATGGACAGCAGAGAAGCGAGCAGAGGGAGACATCGAACAGTGTAATTTATGACAAAACTATAATAATTTATGAATTATGAAGGGTTCATGGGGGAGGGGGGGAGGGGGAAAATGAGCAACTGATATTAAGGGCTAAAGTAGAAGGCAAATGTTTTGAGAATGATGAGGGCAACAAATGTACATATGTGCTTGACAAGATGTATGTATGTATGGACTGTGATAAGAATTGTATGAGCCTCCAATAAAATAATTTTTCCCCAATAAAATAATTTTAAAAAATACCTTATAAGTTCATTTCAATGCTGTGCTTCCTCAGATAAGTCTTTTTGTTGTTG